CCATGAATAATTCCAGTCCAGGCATTACTGCCTTCTTTTAAAATGTAACCTCTGCCCCAACTCCTGCCTACCAAGGTAAGGTGAGCCCCAAAAAGTGAACTGGAGGCAGAGCAGTGGCTGGGTTCACTGGGGCTTCTTCTTTGACTTCACTCCACCTTGCCTTCCTCTCCCCTCTTCACTTTGCTTGATCCTCTGCAGGCTTAGACTTAGAGCATCTCTGTCAAGTCACATCTTTTCTTCCTGCCCACCTCTGTCTTCTGGCTCACAGCTTGTCTCATCTGTGAAGCTGAGGTAGCTGTCCCTTGGCTCATCCTTGGAAACCTATCTGGGGAAGGACTGCTGCTCGCTATCTAAGCCTGGATTCTTCCCCTTCCACATTCATCCAAGCAGGTTGGAATAAAGCCACTTGAATTAGAAAAGGAATGAGATTGCTTGCTGGTCTCAAATATGGAGTAATTACATCACATTTCTAAAAGATGTGCAAATCCCATTGAGATAGATATGCCACCTAAATGTAGACATATAAGTCATTTCACAGTACTATTCCAAGATGTCCTTAAATTTATAACATTTTCAAAATGGAGATAATCTCACAGTACCTGAATATTTTTATGATTCAAGTTTTAAAACACGGATGTACACTTTTGGATACAATAAAGGATATACAGAAAATCACTATCAGAAAGTGATATAAAAGGATTTTTTTTAACTATTAATGTCCCTGATAATAAAACATGTGACAGATTAAAATACAGTAGTTGTATACAAATATGTGATTTCTTTTAAATTGGAAACTATTTAACTATTTGATCTAAAAATGTGAAGCAACATAGCAAGAGGCCTAATATGACTTAACTGTGCCGCCACCAAAATCTCATCTTGAATTGTAGTTCCCATAATGCTCATGTGCTGTGGAAGGGGGAGTGGGACTAAATTACCCAGTGGGAGGTAGTTTAATTATGGGGGCGGCTACCCTCATGCTGTTCTTGTGATAGTGAGTGTGTTCCCATGAAATCTGATGGAGGAAAGGGGCTTTCCTCCTTTGCTGGGCACTTCTCCCTGCTGTCATGTGAAGAACATGTTTGCTTCCCCTTCCGCCATGATTGTAAGTTCCCTGAGGCCTCCCAGTCATACAGGAACTGTGAGTCAATTAAACCTCTTTTCTTTATAAATTACCCAGTCTCTGGCAGTTCTTTATAGCAGTGTGAGAATGGATTAATGCAAGGCCCATTCAATGTTTATCTCACTGTATTTTAGCATGCCTAGGGTTAGATTATAAAAATATCCCAATACCATCACCATTTAAATGATGTTACTATTGTCCAGGATGTATACAAGTCTTGTCAATAATACTTTTACTTGCCATCCACACTTGCAATTTATTCTCAAATATAATTGGTGATGCAATAAATTAGAAGCAAGTAAATAATGCTTACTCGTCAAATCATATTACATACAACAGGGATTTAGAGTAAATGGAAGAGTTACTTGAATCCAGGCTTTTTGTGATATCCAAATGTGCTATTTTTATGGTGCTTTCAGCCACTCCAGCAAGCAGATACAAAGAACCACAATACTGATAATGATTGTGAGTAATGAATTCATTTATCCATTCAGTACTTCATTCCCCTGGCAAGTATGTGGGTATACGTTCCCACTGCAAGGTACTTTGCTAGGTGTTGTCAGCAGATCAAAGGAATGTGTATGTCCTGTTCTCAAAGACTAAATGATGCGACACTCAGGAAACAGACCTTTGGCATGCTCATTGTAAGCATTAATGGCTTAGTTCGTGAAGGTCTGAGGCATTTGGGAATTTTTACTCTCTTCGAGGATAAATTTGAGTCTTCTGATGGCAGAGCAGAGCAAGAAGCCAGTCACTTAGCAAGGGCCTGCGCTGATTAGCCCATTAGTTGCTATTATTCTCCTCAAGCTCACATCTTCTTTCGTTAAAGTCATCCAAGGTTGCCATTCAATAAACTTAATAAGAAATATGAGGCCGGGCATGGTGGCTCATGCCTGTAATTCCAGCATTTTGGGAGGGCGAGGCGGGCAGATCACCTGAGGTCAGGAGTTCAAAACCAGTCTAGCCAACATGGTGAAATCCCCTCTCTACTAAAAACACAAAAATTAGCCAGGAGTGGTACCATGTGCCTGTAATCCCAGTTACTTGGGAGGCTGAGGCAGGAGAATTGCTTGAACCCAGGAGGCAGAGGTTGTTGCAGTGAGCCAGTATCATGCCGTTGCACTCCAGCCTGGGTGACAGAGCCAGACTCTGTTCCCCCACTCCCCCCAAAAAGAAAAGAAATATAACAAAATTGTGGCATTCTCAACAACATGAGGCACTTGGGCTTTATGAGGACTCATCTGTTAGGAGGAGGCCTGGGGGCTTCCAAATATTCCAAGGTGAACCCTATGGACCCAGCTGTTTTCAGATCTGTAGTCTCTGTCTTAGCTACAGAGTGAAGAAACCTGACTCCTTCACAGATCATCTACTGCCTCAAAAACTGGCCAGTGCACTTCAGGTCATTGTCCTTCTGGTGATGTTCTGGAAGGTTAATAGGTTGTGTAGCTATCCTGAAGAGACTTCTAGGATTCAGGGTCTACATGGCTAACTATGGAGCCGACCAAAGCCAATGGCTGTCTAGTAATGGATCCAACCTCCCTAGTCACTTTCCCTTGAAGAGTTCTAGGCTTCTTTCTTTTTCTTAGCTGCCCACCTGAAGGCTCAGTGCTCTGGGCTTTCAGGTCTGGATTTTCTGTCTTAAACAGTCACTCATAGGAGAGTCTTTCAAGTTAATATAGCCTGTAGTCAACCTGTTTATTCAGAGGGAATATGAAGGAAATTTTGTGGCACAGCGGGCTCCACTTCTCTTCATTCTAGAAAGGGTCCCTTTGAACAGGAGACAGACGTTTGAGACAGTTCTCACCTCAGCAAATATTTTCACTGGCATTTCTATGGGGAGTATATAAAAACAAATCCCAAAACACTTTTTATATTATTTTGAACATGTTTAAGTGCAGTTTCACTGGAAATTAATATTTCTGGAAATCTAGCTTTGAGTACTATCATCAAAGTTTAACCCAAAGGATTTTAGAGAGCTGTTGGCTAGAATAATCCATTTGTATCCACGAGAATAAATCTTCAAAAATAATTTAGCTTCTGATTGAATCTTTCTTCTGTGAATTTATCTCAGGATGCATTTGAGTTTTATTTTGGAAAACAATCTTTAAATAAATCTGAACAGGTAATACAAAATGATGGAAAGTACATTTCTGACAGCAATAGGGAATGCAGAGTTTCTCATCCTCAAGAAATACAGGCCTTAGATTTGCACTGGAGAAATGATCTAGTTTCAGAGGTAAGGTGTTTATGGAAATTGACATGTGAATATTTGCAAATTTGAAGCTTTGCAGAATAAAGTCACTTTATTTGTATACTCTGAAATAAATTCCTATTTTCTTTCATGCTTTTGTTTGCATTCAGGAGATTGCCAACTTCAAATAAAAGACTAGCTACAGTGTTAGATTGTCTGATCTAACTCTAACATAGGAAAAATTGACAACCATGGTTTCAAAAAGTTCATTTTCTGCCTTTAGCCATAGAGAACAAGGCACCCTCCTGTAATCAAATATACACAAACATTTAACATCAGGTCTTTACACTATTTCCAGAATTAATGCTACTGTGTATTTTCAGGTGAAGGGATCATTTCATGAGTAAAATGAAGGCATATTGGAAATAAGGACTTGCATGATGATAGAAATTATAAAATTGTTCTAGTGCAGCATCCCTCCTGCTCTGCTTTAACGTAACATTTTGTTAAAAAATTTGATTACTATTAAAGTAAAATCTAGACAATAAGTGGTTAGGTTTTCTGTTGAGTGGCATACTTGTAGACCTCTTTGGTGACCTAAATTTGAACAAGGCTGGATTCTGATGGCTTAGTATGTTCCCCATTAAATATAAGAAAATCCAGTTAATTAATTAGCCCTTGGTGTTAAATGAGTTTTTTAAGCCTGAGAGATGAGGGGAACGTGGGATTTGTGGTGACTTGAGAGTGAACATTAATGATGTTGAACCCAGAGTGACTGTTAATATGGGCCACCTTGCAGCTGGGAGTCCAGTGACGAGGGTGGGCAGGAGCAGCAGCAAGAGCTCAGAGAAGGAGACAAGTGTTCACTTATCACAGATGCTGCCGAAGTCTCATTTCCTTTCATCTTCAACTATATTATATTGCGTTTCATTGTTTTATTGTTTCCCCAGATATATTTTTAAAGTAGCAGGACAATCATTTAGTGTTCACATAGCATGCAACATGCTTATGTCAGTTTTTGCTTAATCAAAACCTAGACTAATCATGGCACATTCCAGAAGGAGAATACATAGGCCTTTTCTATACAGTCCTAGGTCACAAGAAAGACAAATTTCTTGGCAAATTTACTAATTTACTATATATACCGACTTGGTAAGTTTACTTATTCTTTAGTAAAACCATAAGAAGCATAATAGGTTGATGGATTTGGGACATGATTTATTTATATTATTTCTATTTCTCTTCTAGTTATCACAAGAGAAACAACACTTGACTATTGGGGAAGTACTTGATTTGTGTTTTAAGAGCTAACTAACTTACTAGGAAGAAATAACGTATTTTAGTTCCAATTGCCATTCTCATCTTTCACATATTATGACTATTATTTTATTCCTTTATATTGACATAAGTGAAAATTCAGAATCCATTCATTCAGCAAGCATATTAGATACTTATTCTGGTTTTTATGTTAATCTTTGTTGTGCAATTTTCCCCTGAATTTATTTTTTAAATACGGAGTATTGAGCAAGATGTTTCAGATATTTCAGAATCAGGTTAAACTCTTCTACTTACCAGAGCTCCTAGATTTAAGTCAGTCTCAACCTCTCCTCAGAATATCAGCTTCATAGAGACAGTGATATTTATCTACTTTTTCTCTTGCTGTTTCCCCACATGTACCTGCAACAGTGCCTGCTGCATAGGAGACCACTGATAATGTGTTTTTTCATGAAGAATCAACTCAGTCTCTCAATTTGCCACAACTCTGAACCTGTAAGTATTGTATTTTTCTGAGAATAATTAGTAAAGTAGCCTCAGTCAATGACAGCACTTGAAAGAAGTTGGAAAAGGCATTTATTCCTGTTTAACCCCTTTTTAAAAACACTAACCCCTCCCATTCTTACAAGGGCCAATTAAAGATACTCAGTATATTCCAATCTAGAAGCGAATTGTCTGGATTCAACAGTCCATTAATGGTAATTGAACAAAGTTAACTTTTAGTGTCTTTTTGAAGTAGGTATACATAACGTGTATCACAAAAGAGGTGAATTGTTAAGTGAGAGCAGATGAAGTTAAGATATTTAAATCAAGTTATTTTAGAGAACTCTTAAGCTAATTATGCTCAGAAAAGTAGCTGCTTCTTGGCTTATAAAAGATAGCACCTCTTTCAAACAGGTGTAGCTGGGGTAGGATGGTACACTTAGCAAGCCCCCTCAGTACTCTGTGTGGCCACTTAAGAGAGATTTTAGAGATTTCCTAGATTGTCTCCAAAACGTTACTCCATTTTTGAGGGATTGCCTGAAATATCATTGATGGCACTTAAGCTTAAAGATTAATCCCTTGTTAAAATACAGATATCCACGGGAAGGATGACATTTTAAGCTGCTCCTGTCATTTTTATTTCATTGAAGGCAATGGCTAAAATCAGGTTTTGAGTGAGGCAATGAAATCAGAGATAACAAAGCCTTTGGATACTCAAGAGAGAAAAGCCCTTCTAAGGACACAGGCTTCCTATATCAGGCCTGTGGTCGAGTTGGCGTGAGTTCTGTCCTGGGGCTGAGTCCTGGAACACACAATCTAGATTTGTTTTTTCTCATTTCTTGGCACAACTATCTGATTAGATGAGGTTGAAAGTCCTTGCAAAAACTAAGTCAGTTCTCATTATTTTTTTATTTTAAAATGGTGTTTGGCCTTACCTTAATTAGTCCTTGTATTCAACAAGGACAGGAAGTGACCCAAGGAGATATTTATCTCCTCAGCCTTCTTCATCTTGCCTAGGGTAACTTTCAAGTAACAGCTACTAATACCGTACCACCTATTCCTTTTTAAAAATTGCAACCCTGGGAGTTCTATTCCTAAAGATTCACAATGTTTTAGGGGAAGATCCTGCTCCTGGCTCTAATGCTACAGTTTGTAATACTGCCATTTTTACTGAATTGAATGAAATGGCTAAAATCAGTTTCTAAGCGAGAACTGATATCGCTCATCTTTGATAAAACCCCAACATAATGGCTTGTTGTATTGTGAAATGGTTAGGAATTGAGTGATTATACTTTTGATCTATGAACACTCTTGAACATGTTGATTTTTACTTTGGTAAAACTGTGTTCTTTTTTTCAGGCCACAAGCTTTTCTTTCAAAAATGTATACCCAGCCACCCCCAAATAAATTCACCATTTCTATACTAATATTTCATATAAGAAACCTTGCCTTTTTATTTCAAAGGCAGTATTCTTCTATTTCTCCAAAGGTGAGTCGAAGATTAGAAATAAACATGTAATAACAGAAAACTATTGGTTTGGGTAGACTCAGACGTCTGTGAGAATAATAGCACGAAATACTCTGGAAAACATTTATAATTCACCCTGTGTTATGCTGTGGTATACATCTAAAAAAAAATACATACAGATTGAATTCTCGAAGTCAGAGAAGCTAAAAGACTCAGGCTTTACTTGCAAGAAATTTACAGTTAATGTGTGAATGACTGAAGTAAATGATAGAAATGATATTTCATAAACGAGGTTCCAATAAATAGTGATGTGGGAGTTTAGAAAAGAAAGCAAATCTATTTTTTCTGGCTAAAACATTTACAGAAGCAGTGAGTAGAAGGCTTTGTTGGGCTTCGAAGTTCACATATTTAAAACGTCCAGACATGGAGGAAGAGAACTTCAGGTGGAACAGAAACGTGGCAGTGGACAAGGGTGAGTGAAGATAGATGAGACGTGCTGTCCATTTTTACATGATAATGAAAGCTCATTCATTATGAATGAGATGTGTTGACCTAACATTTGGAAAGACAGTAATAATTGCCCAGTCCATTAGTGTGCCCTTGGTGGTGTAGGCAATGGGGACAGGTCCTGGATATATTAAACAGGACAGAATCATTACAATTGTGCATTAGGAAATTTAATTCTACAAAGATATATGGTAAATGAGAAAGGGGAAGAGTCTAATATTGGCAGTCCAGTTAGAAGGGCCTTTAAACAGCCCATTGAATATCTGGAACGTTGAATGCTAATATTAGGAATATTTCCAAGACAGAGGAAATGATAAGCAGACAATGATTTTATATGTGTGTGGAAACCAGTTGAAGGTAGAGTTACAAATAAGACTAGGACTAATAAGTGAGAGAATGGAGTGTAGACAACTGAAGATGGAACCTTGATTCATTTATATTAATCAGTAGATGGAGAGAAATGAGTTAAGGGATGTTCACCTTCCAGATGACATAGTACAAAAGTATGCACCAGTTACAATAGTGCATGAACCCTTAGTACTTAGTATCCTTTCCATTCATAGCTGCAAAAAAATCATACCATGCCTTGGTATTCTCACTCAATATAGTGTCAATAATCAGAGACGTGATCACATGAGCAACATGAGCAAATTCCATCTATTGGGTCCTGGAAACAGAGAAACACAACGAATCTTAACACAAATCTATCAGTATAATCTGAGTGTTAACTAAAGGTAATCGGGCAAGAGTCAATATGGTGGTCTGTAAACATGCGTATCTGCCACATACAATGTCAGGTAAACATTGTCACCTGGTATTAAAAACACTAAATATCCCCATAACATTAATTCAGCTACTGTGCATGTAGATTTTACCATGGACTCAACAAATTACATGGTAAGAGCTTGTAAAAGATATCTGGGAACTTCAGAACAGAACTCAGAGGAATGTGAAATACTGTCCAATCCAACATGGTCTATTTCAAATGTGTGCATTTAGGGGACTCAAACGATCATTCTTTTTGGACTTTCCCAGTTTCCTGTTCCTCCCACTATCACAATCTATTTTTCTCAACTTTCTTTGCAATGTATCTGGGTTCCTGTATCAAAACCTTAACTCTAAGTGATCACATTATAATTGTGAAACTTAGGTTTAGTTTGAAGCTTAATTGTCAGTGCAACACTAACCATACAATGTAGTTTTATAACACAGACTTTTCAGAAATGATATAACTATAGTGAGGATAGAAAATACCTACCTCAGTGACTGAAAATCACAGTGGGAGTAAAAGTAGGTAGAGCTAGACATGTAAATGTCCCTAGCTAAAAATTTCAGGTTCTATTTCTAGATTGCTTTTGTCTTTACGATAATTCTTTCTAACAAGACTAGGAATCATTTTATTCAATGTGGATGCAGAGAATGACAAGGGATGGACCTCTTGAGATGACAGCCTGACAGCCTTTAAATCAAGGAGGATCTCTTTTTTAGCAAGCATGAAGATTAAACAGACTAATGAATCAGGGCTTTAGACCATCTAGTCCTGGGAGATCACATCAGAGTCCCATCAGCCACGGTCAGGTCAAGGAACATTCTTTCCTGTCAACTGGCAAGTCTCCTATTGTTGTGTTGACAGTCTTGCTCTTCTCTGGGAAATTATTCTACTTACTGGAGACAGATGCCGCAGCACATAATTTTATAGTTCTAAGGATCTAAAAGGTAAGCTTTCCTTAACCAGTGTAGTTGGGGGAAAAATGTGGTTGTATGTATTTTATATTCTGGAATTAGTTTCTTTCCACCATATGTCAATTTTATTTTTGATAGAGAAATTTTTATTCTACTTGTCTAAATGTTCTCATAAAAAGGAAATATCCAATGTGCTAGGTGCCTTCAGAGTTTCCTAGAAATTCCTTGATCTGTCACCATTCAGTGGACATGAATGTAAATTTTAAGAGACTTAAAGTTTTCAAGAGGGCTTGGAGTCAAATTCCTTCTCACCTCCCAGTTATATCTCTGGATTAATCAAAATTCATGACGCAGTTCTTTTGAAGTTGTTAATTTTATTTGAAACAGTTATATATGCTCAGTACATAGGGAAGCATAAATGCAGACTTTTTTTTTCTTTCCTCCTTCCAGCTAGTATTATTCTGGAAAACAAAATTATGTAAAAATAGCACTGAAGTTGCAAAGCAGATATTAGATTTTTGTTCTAAAATGAATCTCGATGATGCTTATCTTAATGAATAGGAGATAGGAGTTTCTTTTAATTAAACAATTCATTGTTTCAATTAAACAAACTTCATTTTGTTTCATTGCCATCCTTTAAGTATGGGCAACTTTTGTCTTCCACATTCTGCTATTTCCTGTTGCTTCTCTGCTGACATTTCGCCAGCAAACAGAATAGCAGGCTATGAGTGTGCATCACCTAGTTTTAATACAATATTAGTATCTGATCTTTAACTCATTAAATGACAAGACTTGCCATCTTTGACTTGCTGCTATTTAACATTGCAGACCTGTCTCTAATAGCTGTAACACATATTACTCACTGAAACATTCGTGAGCAGTAAGCATGACAGAATAAGAATTAGTTTAGCAGGAAAAAGCAAAATGATTTCATTTCCAGTGCAGAGATATATTTCTGCACTTGCTGTGATCGTATTTCTACATCACAACTATTGATTCAGGGGTTGCTTTAAACTAATCTATAATAATTCTATTCATTGTTACTCTACGTTAACATGTAAATATACGTATTAATTTAAAAATACAGATTCTAAGATTTCAACAAAAATTATTAAACATTTTTAAAATTTGCTTTTCCCTTTTTTGAATCCACAGATGCTTTTAATGAATTGGTGCTTGGGTACTGAGCCAGTTTTAACTCACTAGAGGCCCATGTCATTTATTTTCTTGTTTAACCATGAAAAGAACATCAAAAGAGTGGCTCAAAACCAACCAACCAACCACCAAACAAACTCACCCCTTTTCAGGTCTCCATAGAGATTTATGTCCACTCAATGAGCTTATTATGTGGTAAGGGTTGTTAGAGATTCCAAAGAAGAAGAAGTCATGGCCTCTCCCCTCGAGTATTTGTCACGTTGCAGGGAGATGTGAAATACACACATGAAATAACTACAGAACGCACGCAAGTCAGCAGATTAATAGTGTATGATATTACAGAGCGGATGATATAAATAAATTGTGAAGAAATATAAAGTAAGGGAAATTTTGCCTTGTCCTGTGGTCAGAGAAGAAAGGAAGCTATTCATGTAATCTCTGAAGGAAATATACATTGAGGCTTGGCGAAGTGAAGTGAGGATGGTGATCAACAGTTAGAGGTCTAGTGTGAGTTCTTGCAGAAAGGCCCAGCGGAAGAAGGAAGGCAGGCCCAGGAGTGAGCTCTCTTCATCTTCACCTGGAACCTCTTTGACGCTGGATGGGCTGACAGGGTTTATGTGCCTCTTCCCTCTCACTTGGGTTGCTGCTTGTTTTTCTGGAAATTATGTGTTCTTGGGGATTCTTCCTGCGGCTCTCATTTACTCCATAGTGTGACAAGAGTGTGCCTGGTGGAAAGCAATACAGATTGTAGGGCCATCCAGCGACTCTGCCATGCCCGTACTTTCTGTTCCCCTGGACACCTAAGGCATACTGGATGGCATCCGACTGCCCTGCCATTGAGATGAGTCAGCTCTGCTCTGAACACTCCCTTATTTAGATGACATCATGCTGAGTGGCATACATGGTTGTGGCTGTGCAAGAAAATCATACATGACCTGCGGTTGTGACAAGCAGTGGCGAGAGCACTGGGAAGGAGCCATGGAGTTCTAGCTCCTTCTACAGTGAGTCAATCCTTATCTTGCAGAGACCTCATTTTCCTCATAGAACCTAAGGAGGTTGGGCTGCAGTATCACTAAAGTAACTTTCAGAAATTATTTTCTATTATTTTAAATTTGTTCCAAAGTGAGAAACATGAATAAGGCAAAGGATATCTTCCCAGCACGATACTTAATTCATGAAGAAGTAAAATAAAGTACAAATCTTTAGCCAATGAATTTGATGTAGTCTCTTCCCTATGTCTACCACCATTTGAGCAGGGAAACCTATAAAATCCAGGCCAGTATCAGTGCCATCATCCTTAGCCTGGGGTTTGCAGTAATTTCTCATGGATATGGCTGGCTTTTCAGATGGACCTACCTGGTGAGGTATTGCACTCTCCAGCAAGAGGAGGCAGCTGGGAATTTGGATTTGAGGCACAGAGAGAACAAGGGTCTGGAGATAGAAATTTGCGGTTCTTACAAAAATTGGGCTTCTTGTAGAATCTGACCTTAAAGACGTCCTACTCTGCTTCCTCCATTAGGGAAATTGGAGGTTAAATAAACTGCTGTATCCACCTAGTGAATTAGTGGTAATACTCAGAAACCCAGATTTTAGTCTCCTGATCTAGCCCACAGACAGTACTTCCATTTAATTAGTCAAATTGATTGAAAACTTAATTACACATAATCCCACACAAAAGGGAGTTATGGTAATCACACATGCAAAGCTTCAGGGATGTAAAGGAGAGGAGGGCCAAGCTGATGATAGCCAAACGACTGGGGGAGCAGAATTCCCATTGTAGCCACCTTCTCTTCATGGGGGAAGCACTTAATAAAGGAATGTGGGTTTTCTGGTTGTAACATTTTATAAGGCAGAATTAAAAACATGAGACAAGGTTTCAGGTAAAGTGGAGAGTGTCATTAAAAAAAATCTTCTAGAGGAAAATTCCCTTAACTCAGACTGAATCTGCTAGAGAACTGGTTACGGTAACCTAGCTTGGACATTCTCAGGTAAGATACGAAGCTTGCTCAGATGCCATTAGGAGATATCCAGATATTCTCAAGCCCCCTCCCCAGTGTTCTTATGATGCATTCATACCCTCACAGTGGTGTTTATTGTAATGATTTGGGAGACAGCCTGAAGCATCTT